TAGCCCTCCTTGGGCTGGACATGGGGACTGGAGCCCTTTCTGTGCTAGACACGGGGACTGGAAACTTCTCTGGGCTAAACTCGGTGACTGGAACCCTCACTGGGCTAAACTCGGGGACTGGAACCCTCTCTGGACTAAACTCGGGGGCTGGAGCCCTCACTGGGCTAAATTTGGGGACAGGAGCCCTCTCTGGGCTAAACTCGGGACCTGGAGCCCTCCGTGGGCTAAATCCGGGAACAGGAGCCCTCCGTGGGCTTAACTCAAGCGATTAGTCAACAGAAGAGATAGACGGCTGCACGTGAGTGTCCTGCATAATACTTGTTTATAGATCTGCTGTTGGAATTATTACTTGCTGCTAGGAAGGAATATTTAGTTTTCTGCCTATTTCTACGTTATATTTTTGTTTGCGTTTGTATTTTTGATTGCACTTTCTGGTAATTATAATAATTGCCCTGGACTAAATGTAAATGTAAATGTAAACTCGAGAACAGGAACCCTCTGTGGGCTAAACTCGGGAACAGGAGCCCTTCGTGGGCTGGATTCAGGGACTGGGAAGCGCTTACGAGGAACTGGCACTGGAGGGTGCTCTGGAGGAGCAGGCACAGCAAGGCACGCCTGCAGGATTCCCAGGCGTACTCGAAGAAGGAGAGATCTCTGCAGGCTAAGGCGGAGAAACGAGCGCCGATTTCCATGATCGTGGAGGGAAACAAACAGGAAACAAAAACTGTTAAAAAAAATGGAAAACAAACAAGGGGAAAGGGGGCGCTGCTTTCTGTTCTGTTTTTGGTCCGATATTCTGTCACGGTGTGCCTACTGTGAAGAAGCGAGGAAACGAAGGAGATTCCAGAATTATCACAGTCTTTATTGACATATAATCACAGGAGTCACACATAGGACACGGGGATCGACGTTCACAGACATTCAATACCGGACGACCAACTCAGAATACGACACACTTTAAATACACGACATGACGAGGGGATGATGAGAAACACCTGGGATCAATAAACATAATTGGAACAGGAAATAGGAAGGACCAAATAAGGGCAAGGAAGGCACATGGGAGCAAAACACACACAAAACAAGGAACAGAGTCTGAAAGTTATGAGCTCAAAACACTTTTATCATAGTGCATCATTTGTAAACTAATACATTTTGACATTTGCATCACATAACCAGCTCTGTATGTGTGGCTTTTCTGACGTAGTAAACATGCTCGGTAGCGCACCCGGTATAGCACTGCACTAGTGATGTGAAGCGCTGGAGTACAAGATGTGTTATGCACTGCAAACTGATCTTATGAGCGTGTGCTGCTTCTGCATCACATACATATTATACATGTGCCACATATACAGTATACTGCAAATTGATCATGTGTGAAATGGGCATTACAGAAGAGAAGCAGCATTAAATCCAGGCTAACGCTGTAATGACATGATTCACCATGAGAAGCACGGCAGAGGGTTTATGGGGTCCACGGAAACTACATCCATTAGGTAGGACCAGCCTTTAAGGGTATGGAGGACACAAAATGTCTTGCTAAAGCTGAAGAACATTGATCTAGTGACATTTATGCACCAATTATATGGTGTTCTGTGGCCATTATAATTCTGAGGATTCTACAAAGTCTTGGTCAAATGTCTTTGGCGGCTGTGGCTTTCGATATGATTTGGTCATATAGTGAACATCAGGGTACATTTTTCTGTGAGTTACCTTTACATTATTTTTTTTATATGTAATTAATTTGTCATTAAAAACATCTCTAACTTGTTGTACATCAGTCAAACATATGATTACCCAGTAGCCAAATGTTTATGACAGACCAGATCACTCTGGCATCCAACTTTTTATTTATGCACTACTGAAGAACAAACGCTCTAAATCGACTC